GTTTAAAGTATTATGATAATACTTTTAATATATGTTTATCATATATTTATTATATTTTTTTATTAAAATATTTTTAACATTTTTATCATAATAGTTATATAACTATCATATGATAATCATAAATGGCAAAAATTAAAGTTTCTGTTAAGATTGAAAGCCCGATCATCAGATAAATAATCAATAAAAACGAAGGTTCCCTTTTCCTTTGGCGGAACTCATATAATGTGATAAATCACATTTTCGGGGTTTGATCTGTTAGATTGATATTGGAAAACTCACAATTCCTGGTTTACGCATGGCGACACTCAAATATATCTGGATTCTAACTCTATCATAGAATTAAAATAAAAACTTTTTATTAATCTTAGGTAGTTATTAAATATTTTCGCTCAAATTTGCAAAATCCGTCGCGACTAGGGTATTCAGACAATGAGATTAGTTGTGCAACCAATTTAAGCAAATCAAAGTCCGTAATAAGCCAGAATTGATAAATTTTTTCTAAATTCACTCAAATTTACGCCAATAAACCAGTAGCCTATATATTAAATAAAATTTCTTAGCTATTAATTTTGCTATAATATAGTTAACTAGTACGTATTATAGCCTGAAATTTGGTTGCGCGATAATCTATTCATATTTGTTATAACTAAAGCACAGAATTTCCAAATGTGTGTGATACCCGAAAGTAGCATCCCGTGTATTACAGTATTAAACGTGAAAGTGTGCATCTGAAAATCAGCACTCATAATCGATGTAGATCAATAAAAAATTCCTTAGCGTTAGCATTAATTAGGCTACGTAGCAGTTCTCATCCACGTGTACTGTTAATGCCATAAACAAACATCGCCGATATCTTAAATTAGTGACTTGTGACATTTTTTTTTTTATGAAATTTTGTAACGTATAAAATTTTCCGTAATTTTCTATATTTGTACATCGAGTTTAAAATATGTAATAAAAAATATCGATATATTAAAATACAAGAGAAATTCTAATATAAAGAACTCACTTCAGACTTTAATTTTCAAGTTTTTAACCTTTTTTTTCGGTTAATAATCATTATAAAACCTTTTTTTCGCATGATATATATATATATTTGGTTTCAAAATCATTGTAGTGTATTATTTTTTTGCACACACGGATATCTTAAGAATGCCTCAACAAAAAACACGTATTAATTCGACCCTAGCGTGTGTAAATTGTCAATGGAGACATGTAAAATGTGTAAAACTTCTCGGGGAAGATTCTTGTACAAACTGTAGAAAATACAGCCGACCCTGTATTTACATTCCGGGTAATAAACGTGGACCAAAGCGACATAGACTAAATACTAGAATTGCTAATCTTCGGCTTTTTTCAAATATTGATCCTTATCGTTATGAAGCAGCTCACATCCAGTATCAGAAACAGCTCACTGGAGACAGCTTATATCCAGAGTTGGGAATAGATTATACTCAACATCAACCCATGCCCAATATCGATAGTATTTCATATCCAACACCAGGAATACATGTAGCTTATTCACAGTATCAAGGGCAACTCACACCCAATATTGGGAATAGCTCACATCCAATATCGGAGACCAATGATATCCAAAATAAATTAGTTAATCAATCCAACTTATCATCATCCTTTTTTGTTCACAATGAATTAATGCCAAATAATAAACAAAAAAATATAATGTCATCCTCTAATTCTTCTACTAATGATCCAAATGATCTCTTCTCCTTCAGAACTCAACATTCTTATAATAATAATATTGACTCCTACGATACTACTAAATCATTCCATAATACATTCATTGACCAATTCTCCTTAATACCTTCCTCTTTCGTTCATGATGAAATGCTATATGATGAACAAATTTTATATGATGAACAAAATATTAATCCATTCTTTAATTCTTTTTCTACTTAATATCCTTATTATAAATATGCAAAAATTCCTTCTTAAGTTAACATTTATAAGGCTACTAAAACTTAAAGCATTCCAAAACACATTTTTGTTAATTAACTTCATTATCTTTCTTCATTTCTATTTACGAAAATTAATGCCGGATAATTTTTCAACGATTAATCTAAAAATATTCCCCATTTTAGCATAAGAGCGAACACGTAATTATTTGAACCTTTTGTTAATATTTAATTTTGTTACAGTTTATATTTCTCATCACATTTATTTATTTATTTTAAAAATTTTTTTTTGTCTTAAACCGTTTTCATCACAAACCTTATCTCTATAAATTATCACTAGCATCATAAACATTTATTTTTACATTATTATCATTATAAATTTTGACTATAGGCTATAATTATTAAACGAAACCTATTTTTATGAAATGGAACCTAACGTCCTGAAAGAAGAACTGGCGAAACTCTTGCAAAAGGAGAAGCCCATAAAGCAATTTTTACAAGCTTCCCGGAGAAAGACAAATTTCAGTAACATTTGAATTTAGTACTGTTATTTTTGAAACCCTTAAAAATTTAATCCTTAAAGCCATTTTCATTTTTCACCAGTTTTGCCGACTTTCATTTGCTTTCATCAGTCAGACAGTTAATTTTGTCATCTTTCGTCGGTTTCGTCATTTCTTCATTTAAGCTTTGCATTTCATCAAATGTGAAATATCCAGATTCTACTAATAAGTTCTCTATTTTTATTACAAGTATTTTTTCGGCATAAATATTCTTTCTTTATTACAAGAAAAAACTTCTCATTACAAAGCTTTTTATACATTTATAAAAATATTCTTTTATTTTATAAAAATTTTTTATCAAAAATATAACGATAAAGTAAAATTGAATTTATGTAAAAACTTTTGAATGTTAGGATAATTATGTTATTATAGGATCATAAACATGGCAATAAGATACTGTATTAAATAAATTTTTTTTAATTCTCAAAAATAATTTAATTTATATCATTTATTGCCTGATATGGTAGGAAAAGTGATATATTTCTTTAGTGGTGTTAGCTAGTGGGAGAGCATTATGGAAGTGACATGCATGAATTCGGGCCATGGTCACCTTTATGTGTAGTACTTAGAATCGGGATGAAACTCAAATTTCTAGGATTATTGATAATTGGGCATTTAGGCAGGTAGATTATTAGGAGGGGTGATTCATGAGAATTCTCTTTATTAGGAGAGTTCAAAGGGCATACAGCTTCTACTCTAACATCGGGGAGCTAGCATTTATATACATGCGCGGAGGTTATTGAAGACATCAGATGATCTAACGATCTACTAGAAGACTTCATCCTCTCATGAGACTACCTACTTTCCGAATGTGAATCCATCGGACTTAAGGCTAATTCCAGGAATTAATACTCAATATTGATAGCTACATCGGGAAACCTACACATCCCAACTAACATTCCAAAAAATACAAGACCAACTTACATCAAGGTTACGAATTAACTGTAACGGCGGCACTAGAAATGTACAGATATAGTTCTGATGCATAAGTGATTTAGAAAATGAAATTACCTTAATACAATAATAGCGATTTAAATTGAATTATAGAAAAGAGATTTAGTTATAGCATTTGCTGATTATAGGCATAATCCTAAGTCAGTGATGGTAGATGACCTGATCATTTGCAAATTTTTCATATGACCTCAAATGACCCCGAAATGACCGATCATTATCAGTCATTTCAATCCAATCTTGGGTCATTTGGGTCATTTGGAAATGACTCGTGACCAGGTGACCATGATAATTTAGAAATGACCGGGGTCATTTGAGGGTCATTTAGTTTATAGGTTTTGAAATAGGCTGTGTTAGGCTAGGTATTTGTATACTCGGGCCCAAGCTCAATAAAAATTTATATCCAATCGTTTGATCGAAATTTAAATGACCTCAAATCATCAAATCATGACAAGATCATTTGGGTTATTAAGTTCATTTAGGTCATTTGCTTATAAAATAATTTTATTGTTTGAATTGCTCATATAAAAAGTTATCAAACTTTATTACATTCCTAATCGATAATTGTAGCTATTTACACGTATTAAAGTCAAAATCTTACCAAGTCAATTAATATTTATAAATTTAAAAAAACCTTTTATTAACTTCGTATAAATGTAAAGTTCGGAAGTGAATTAATAAAAATTCTTCAGTTTACATGAAAATTTCAGAATATATGCAATTTATTGATTGGCTAAAGGGCAATAGAATATCAATTAACATATATTAAATGACCTTCTTAGCCGAAACTTGAATTTTTGCCATTTTATGATTATCATATGATAGTTATATAACTATAATATGATAAAAATATGATAAAAATATTTTAATAAAAAATATAATAAATATATGATAGACATATATTAAATGTATTATTATAATACTTTAAATATATTTTTGTAATTCTGTTAAGTCACTATTAACGCGATTAATACCATATATTTATAATATAATTATAATATAAGTATAATCTAATATTATCTAGTAATTATCTAATAGCAATCTAATAGCAATCTAATAATATAATATTTTAATAATATTTTAATAATATAATAGCAATCTGTTTAAAATAATTAAATAATGTTACTAATATCTTAACACTTAACAATATGATAAAAATATTGTTAATAGTAACTTAACAGATTAAAAATATTTTTATCATATTTTTATTATATAATAGTTATATAACTATCATATGATAATCATAAATGGCAAAAGTTCAAGTTTCTGCTAAGTTCTAAGTCATTTAGGTCTCGAAATGACACAATGACTAGTCATTTGTCATTTAGGTCTCGAAATGACACAATGATTAATCATTTGTCATTTGGGTCATTTCAGGTCATTTATCATCACTGATATTAAGTGCATTTTATTTCTTTTATTCTATTCATCGAAAACATTTTTTTTTTTTTTTAGCCCATACTTGCAGTAATTTTTGAATATAAATACAAATGTTTAATTATAAAAACTAAGAATGCAGCACCGCTCGAGGATCTGTAATAAACACGTTGCCAACTTAAAAAAAAAAAAATACTAATAAATTATTGCCATTAGATTGTTAGGTTAGGGTCAGGTCAGGTTTCACTACTATAAAAAGCTTTGTGAATACCAAAATTCTCCAAAAAAAAAAAAAAAAGAAACAAAAAAACAAAAAAAATACTTTTATTAGTACGCGAAAGACAGGTAAAAACTGACTTATTTGGTTTCTTCTGCATTACTGCTTTTGAAATTTAATTGGCTAGAGAAGTTTAGTGATAAACAGCAGAAATGATAATAGAATTGATGTATGTTCGTACGTACATGGGCATTAATATCAGGACAATGTGCAATGTTTCATGGCCCAATAGTTTCTAACATAATATTGTAGACCCGCAATTTTTTCATGTTTGGACATCTGGAACAATTTCTTAGAAAGTGTTCAGATACGAAAACAAACTGGGATTATAAGTTTGAGATTACAGCTGTTCTCATAAATTCTGGTAAAGATTCAACCGATAAATAATGGTGTATTTTTCGCGTCAACTACATGACTTCCCTAAAAATGTATAATTATTCGAATCGGTTCAGTGTACAAAATATTACATGCTTATAAGATTCCCTTACCATGGTTGAATAAGAAACCGCAAGGAAGAATCTCATGACTTCCGTTCATAGTCATTAGAAATAAAATAAACAAACAAATACAAAGATAAAAAAAATATTTGAAAGAATGTCTCAGCAAAAAACACACCGTATTACCGCGAAATAACAAACATAGGCGTTATTTCGAGGTTCGGCCCGAATTAAGCTTAATTTAGGCTGGAATTTATAATTTCACCCTGCGCGTTGTTTCGTGGTAATACGGTACGAATTCAGCCCTAACATGTATAAATTGTCAATGGAGACATGGAAGGTGCGAAAAACTTCAACTATCGTCCAAGATTCCTAAAGCCTTGAGGTAGAAGGCAGAAACTTGGTCCGAGTTTCGAGATTGAGATAAGTATATCTTTTGGATTATACTTATACTGGTTGTGTTGTATGCTTCTATTTGATACTAAAGGTGACTTCTTCCCAAGCCTGGTGGGTGGAGTTACAATATTGGACTTCAATCGTTAAGTTTCTTAACGTTGTCACGTGATCACATGTCAAAATAGAATCGCGGCATCGGTATATATTTAATTTGAGTAATAATGACGTTAATCAAAGTTTAATTAACTGTGATTTTAATATAAAAGGGGTTGGATTACTAATCGATACTCTCTTTTACCCTTACTAAAAATCGAAAATACGAATATGACAAGATCACGATTTATTATGAACGAAACTTAACATTAAGGAAATAACTACCGTTGGCCACTGCATACATTCTTGAATAATACCGGGGTATAACTATATTTAATTTATTACTCTCATATAATGTATTCCCCAAATATAGTATCCGGTTCCTCACACAATACCCACGGGTACTATTCAATTTTAAAAATGAAATTCTTGAATAAGACCCTGGGTACTGTATGCAGTGGCCAATGGTAGTTAACTTTGCGAAAAGGTGTCGCTTTTATACTTTTTTGCACATAATTACGACATGACTTGAACTTATTTGCTACAGTCAATTAACTTATTAAAATGGATATAGACCCGGTTCAAAATTCAAGAAATCGAAAAATTCAAAAAATTCAAAATGTGCGAAAAGAGCACGAAGTTCACATATCTCGTAATGATGGGCACTTCTATCTTGGGGCTTTTATTATATTACGTACGTACTGTACGTACATACTACGCTACCAACTGCATTGAGATTTATATAGGGAAATATCAACAAGAAAAAAACGAAAAGAAAAAAAAAATTTAAATTATAGTAAAATAAAATAGCAACCAAAAAAAAAAAAATTATAAGGTCATATACAGATTCTGTGATTTAACATGGTAAAATTTTTCCAAGTAGTAGTATTGTCTACCTTTCCGAGACTTCCCG